GTTAATAAAGCTCGCTCACTACTACGCAGTCTGCATCTTGGGTCCATTTATATTCACACACGGCCTGCCTCAGCACCCCGTGACAGTATCAGCCAAAGGTGGCTCCTTTGATGATTCAAAAATGTGAATACATTTGGTCTTAAAATTGATTCCATGATTTCTTTTTTTTTTAAATTCCAATCGCTTATTTATACTATGCTTTCATTTCAGAATACAATGAGACATTAAACCGCATAACTTTTTAATAAAAAACTGAAAAAGTGTGGGTGTTTTGACTTTTGACTTTATTTGAAAGCATAATTAACCACATCTAGTTCTCTATCCATATTTACAATGCCAATGGTGAGATTATTTCACGACAACCTTACTTTTATGCATTTATGCATAAAATTATTATTATTATTAATATTATTAGCTAAGGTCATGTTAGCTACTATACAACTGTTAGATACTCTGTTAATCTTGTACTTTGTGGCATAAGTTAATAACTACAAGAGACATAGTCCTAAATATATGTTAAGGTTTTTATTTACCTTGCAGTCCTGCAACAGTAGCTAGAATGTGGGTTAAATTCCAAATACACTGTTATATGCAAGCATGGAGCTATGAGCAAAAAACAAGGCAAACGTTGCTTATAATAGGAAATGTGCATTAAATTAGACTGTATGATGATAAATCACTCGCAAGCAGGTCAATTATGAATTTAACTCCACTTTAGTGACTAATTAGTTGCAAAAACACAAAAGAAAATAAGTAAAATTAATAAAGTTGGTTGAGCAATGGTAAAGTACTTAGCATCAACTGAAACCAAATAATTAAATAACATTGTGGGCCCACACACATGCCCATGGACACATACACCTTAACTGCAACAAACCTCTGTTAACAAACACGTCGTTGCAGGCCTGAGTTGTAACTCGGGTGGATTTGCACCTAAAACAACCCCTTCACTTGTTGACAAGAAGTAAAATAAAAAGTAAATGGGACGGTCTAGCCTTCAGATGTGCATCACCGCTGTGTCGGTGGACTTTAATAAACTCAGCCGTCTGCTCCTTGCTATCTAAAATATAACAGGACACTGGCGTAAATTCTCAGCTGTCTCACACTTCTGTTTAATCAGTTTTCTTTTTGATCTTTATCAAAAAGAAAACTGGAGGCTGTGTAAAAATCCCAGAGGAACCCACCTGATGGATTAATAAAGTTTATTTAATCTAATCTAAGCTAAGCTAATAACATTGATCTCAGCCAAACTGATTTACTCTGGCACAAATAAAACACTGAAAATGTCATGATCCTGGGTCTGTGACCCAGCGCTTTGAGTTTATTGTTACTTTTTTCTAGGTTATTCTGATTTTGTATTAGTTATTAAATCCTCTTAAACAACCCCGTTCTTCTCAGAAACCGAAGAACCACTCCTTTCCGTTCATGACATCCTAGTCAGTCAACCACCTTTTCAAACCTGACCTCCCCCCTAATTCCCAATTCTACCCTCATCATTTTCCTGAGGTTATCATACCTTCTGCAGTTAAGAAATACATGCTCAATTGTTTCCATAACACCACACCAATTACACAGCCCCGTTAAATGTTTCCCCATCCTAAAAAGAGTGCCATTCAGGTAACAATGCCCTGTTCTTATTCTACACATGACAATCTCTTCTCACCTATTCATTCCTTTATTTCTTTTAACTTCTACTGTATTTTGTACCCTATATAATTGTCTCCCTTTAGTTTCCTTATCCCACGCCATTTTCCATAACTTCTTACTTTCACTCCAAACAATACACTTTCCCTCAGATTTAGATAACGGTATCTGCACCTCAGTGTCTACTCTTTTAACAGCTTCCTTAGCCATTCTATCTGGTCTTTCATTTCCCATAATGCCTAAATGAGCTGGTGTCCACATTATTACCACACTTTTGCCCTGCTGACACACTCTATGGTGAGCAAACATAACTTCATACAGAATGGTCTGATTACTACTTGTACGTCCATTTTCTATACTTAACACAGCTGACAAAGAATCAGTGCATATGACTTTTGGCATACAGCTCTACTGTATACACACTCAAAAAGTTTGATGTTCTTTTCCCAAACTTGATATTTAATTCCGGAACTACCACTGCCAAACCAGTTGCTTCACTATCCGCATCTTTCGATCCATCTGTGCACACCTGCACATAGCCACTGTACTTGCCTTCCAATCTACTATAAAATTCTTGACAAAGTAAAACAGTCTGTGTGTTTCCTGTTTTACTTTGTAAGTCTGTGTCTCGTTATGTCCATTAGTTTCAGCTGTGTCCACCCCTGCGTGTCATTTCCTCATTACCTGGTGTGTCTATTTATAGTGTGTGTCAGTCTGTGCTTTTTGTCGCGTCGTCTGATTTACTCTGTTTACTGGTATTCATTCTGCGTCTCTCTGCCCTCAGTCTCCGTGCATTTTGCTCCTTCTCCCGTGTGTTTTTGGTTTCAGGTTAGTTCTTTAGTTTTCCCCAGTTTAGGTGTGTTTGCTCCCTGCTCTTCCTGTGTTTTTGCCTCATTATCACTTCTATAAATAAACACTCACTCGCACCCCAGCCAGTACCTGCATTTTGGATCCTTTTTCTATACACCACATGACTGCTGACCCAGCCATGACAGAAAAAAGCCAAACAATTACATTTTTAAGTTATCCGAGTTATATCATGTTTAACCTGAGTAGCGAAAGACAGTGGGGGTCTGAAAACGATGAAGCCGGGAGTCCGCTGCTCTCGCTGGGTCGAGTGACCATTGAAACCCCCGGCTAGCTATCAAGCGGGTGGGTAACAGACGTCTTCAAAAACATCTGAGCACTTTTGCAAATATGTGATGTCTTGATAAACCAAGCAGATATTTAAAGTTTACATGGCTACTTTCTCGCCTGAAAATATGTCAAAATTTGTGACCCAGAAAGATTAATAAGAGTAATATTAAAACTTAGTAGCAGCCGCCATTGTTGGAAACTGGAATTGGCTGGGCTGCGCTATGAATTCTGGGATATGGTGGGCCACGAAGGACACACCAGGCCCATCCTTCAAATCCAGGGGAATGAAGGACACATTTGTCGGCCGCATTTGAAGGAGTTGACGAATTGGGACAGCCTTCGTCGCCTGGCTGTGACGTAATCGGCCTTCAAATGACATTGAAAATAGGACTGTAAGTGGACTTACATCAGTGACCATCTTTCAATTTTTACAGTATACAGCCCGTTTTACACAATAACTTAAGGCACAGTGTCAGACAATATTCACATTTACCTCACGGTAGGGTACAACAGTTCTCCCCTCCAGTTAACTGAAAACAACCTGAAAATAAGTTCATTCTATGAAGTCTGCGTCCACATGACACTGGTGTTCTTCTCTCCTCCTCGACCCCCTCGACCTGAGACTATGTCAGGGTTCACTGGAGCTGTAGTACATACCAATAACATTTCAAAAAATAATAACATGCACCTCAAAATACAAATAAACAGGCTGTGAATAAACTGACACACATCACATACCTTACAGGCATTTGTATATATTCTTGACCACAGTGAACATTTGCATTTAACTATCAAAATAAATGAACTATTTAAGTAAATGAACTATTTATATAACCAGGGCTGCATTTGTCTTTATCCAGGGATAAACAGTATGTGCAGACTCCCAGTAGGCAGCAGTCTGCAACTTACTAGTCTGCAGATCTTTGGAGGCTCTTTCTATTTATGTTTATTACACGTAAACTATCACAGGTGTTTTATTAAATTTGTGTGTGTGTGTGACAGCACGTCACACACACACTCCGTTTACCCAGTTCCTCTTTTCTTTGTGTCAAATTTCCGGTGCAGCTTCGCACTTCCTCTTTCTAAAGTCTGTTGCCAGGGCAACTTTTCACCCTTAACATAGTTCCCGTCTTGTCTCGTCTGGTTTATAAAAGCATACATAAAACAATACAATCGCCAAATAAGCGAATATATATATATAAGATATATATAAGAATATATATTAAATACAAGACAGTTTCCAGGTAATCAGAATCAGAATCAGAAAAGGTTTTATTGCCAAATGTTGAGCAGGTTTACAACATTAGGAAATTGCTGCGGTACTTAGTGCAAACATACTGTCAGACAACGCTTAAATAAACATAAAAATTAAAGTTAAAAGTGCTAAGTAGATAGATATATACATGAGTGCAGGTGGTGATCAGTGCAAACATGGAATGATGCAGTGAATCCAGCGTAGGGTCATGTGTTAGTGGTCACACGGTTATTGTTCATGAGTCCAACAGCAGAGGGGAAGAAACTGTTCTTATGGCGAGAGGTTCTGGTGCGAATGGACCGGAGCCTCCTGCCTGAGGGGAGCAGGTCAAACAGACTGTGTCCAGGGTGAGAAGGGTCAGCTGTACGCAGCTTTTTAAGTTTGCTTCAAAAGGTTATTAATATGGTATTTAATAAAAACAGGGTGTTTTACATTTTGCAGCTCTGTTTTCCTCCATATTACACAGAAACTACCACAGATAATAATTGGGGTCATATGATTGTTGGGTTTTTCTCTGTATGTATTATTGTAGGGTCTACCTTACAATATAAAGCACCTTAAGACAACTGTTGTTGTGATTTGGTGCTGTATAAATAAAACTGAATTGAATTGGTAATAATTTAGAAATTACCACAATAATACATTTTTGTGTCTTCTTTGTTAAGCTACTATTATCACTTCTTTACCGAGCTCCACATTATTTCCCCAGTTTTTGGGCCCTTATTATCCAGTTAAATAAATTTCAGTGTAATATTACTTAACTGTAGCCAATGTTGCTACCACGATATTACTTGGAAATTAAATTACTTGTTATTACTTTGGTAATTATATTGTAATTGCATTACCACATTATTACGTTCTTGTTTTTGCTTTGTTACCCTACTATAACTACTATTATTATTATTATTACTATTACCACTCTGTTTTGTTTTATTGAAAAATTAATTTAATCTGTCTTTCACAGTTCATCTGACTGTGAGTCCCAGCAGCTCTCAGCTGTTTAAAGATGAATCTGTGACTCTGAGCTGTGAGGAGGACGACAGCTCTGCTGGATGGACTCTGAGAAGAAACACAAGCATACACACCAGAACTGAATGTGGAGTTAAATTTGGAGAAATACATGGGTCTTCCTGTGAAATCATCTACATCGAGCCATCTGAAAGTGGAGTTTACTGGTGTGAGTCCAGAGAGGGTCGCATCAGTAACGTGGTTAACCTGACAGTCACTGGTAAGCTGAGTGTGTGGAGTTAGTGTTGATGAAGCTGTGTGTAAATGGATGAAATGCTGTAGTTTGTCTCTGTGTTGAGGTGGATCAGTGATCCTGCAGAGTCCTGTCCTCCCTGTGATGGAGGGAGATGACGTCACTCTGCTCTGTAAAACAAAGACCAATCCCTCCAACCTCCCAGCTGCTTTCTTCAAAGATGGAGTCTTCATCGGGAAAGAGCCTACAGGTCACATGACCATCCAGCATGTTTCCAGGTCTGATGAAGGCCTCTACAAGTGTGACATCAGCGGTCATGGAAAGTCTCGATCCAGCTGGATCACTGTCACAGGTGAGGAGCTTCACTCTTATTTCACCTCTTATTTGATTCACATACTCACCTGAACAGGTGGGATTCTCTCTGCAGGTAAACCTACAACCACACCTCCACCAACCACCTCAACTCCACCCAGTTCCGGAGCTTCACCCCCTGTCTCAAGCACTTATTTTGACTTTACACTGATGCGTTATCTGATGGTGTTCTGTCCTTACTGCATCTCCACCCTCCTTATGGTGAATTTATATTGTCACAGGTAAGTTTTAATCAGTAATGAATAATCTCATGATTGGTGTCTGTCTCTAAATGTATCAATTTGTTAATATTTGAGAGAATAAGTTAATATTTTGTTTCCTACCATCTCCAAAGAAAAGAAAAACACACAAAAAACTTGAAACTGTGGAGATCACAATATGGATTTCCTAAACCTAAGCAAACATAAAATCACTGAGGAATTTTTTTAACACAATGTACTGCATGAACATATTCCCTAAAATTACTAGCCCTACCAGGATCACATCACATTGTGCAACTCTCATAGACAAGATTTTTACAAATGACATTGAAAATAAGACTGTAAGTGGACTTACATCAGTGACCATCTTTCAATTTTTACAGTATACAATATGAATTACAAGATTAATTACAAGTGGACAGTAAAAAACAGAGTACAGACAAGTAAGAGCAGAGGAAAGAATAAATGCATTTTAAAAAATATTTAATGAAAGAGAACTTCAAAAGAGTTAAATATATACAGAAACAAAACGTCAATAGTGTGTATGATGGATTCTTTAGAATATTTACATTGTTGTATAATACAAACTGTCCAATGGGTAACAAAAGGTCTACAAAATGCATGTAAAAGAATGCTCGACACAGATATTTCTTAAGAAAGACAACTGAAGATGCTGAAATTAGATATAAAAGGTATAAAACTAAGTTAATAAATATAATAAGATATAGTAAAAAGTAATACTATAAAAAGCAATTATATAATAATAGAAATAATATTAAAAGATTGTGGGAAATACTGAACATTGTTATAAAACGTGGGGCTAGACTAAACAACTATCCCAAGTATTTCATTGTTAATGACCATGAAGAATATAATATGGATGTTGCGACAAACAGCCTCAATGACTTATTTCTAACTGATGGGCCAAATTTAGCAAGAACTGATCCTGGGAAAGAAGGGGAAAAACTGGATACACCGATAGACTAAAATCCTTATTCAATGTTTCTCATAGCCGTTGATGAAAATGAAGTTTTTGAAATTGTAATGATATTGATATGAGAGTGGTTAAAAGGGCAATTGAGGCTATTTTAAAACCATTTACATAAATCTATAAGTTTGTCTTTTCTTTGCTAAATGCACTTGTATATTGTTTAGATGATCGAAATAAATTAACAATCAATCAATCAAACTCCAGGAAGTGACCTGCTTTTCTCCATGGTGATTACTCCATCCATTCAGGCTAAGCAGGTATTGGACAAGGATGTTGATGACATCACAAAACAGCATCACTTTTGAACTAAACTTAAGCCAGCGCAGTGTCTCTATCAACTGCTTCTATTTTGCGTTTGTTTTTCATATTTTCTGAGCAAGTTCATAAATCTTTGACTGTATTCATTTCTCCTTCTAGAAATAATTTCTGTTTTTTGTCTATGAGTGGCCAACTAAACTGTGAATGATAAAGTAGACTGACCTTCAGATTTGATTATTTTCAAAACATTAAGCGTAACAAATGTTTTTAGAAGACTTTGTTTAGTATGTTAGAACTTAAATGTTAAAGTAGTTAAAGATAATTGATAATTTGTAGCACAGAGTCAGGAAATCACACTGTATTGAAAGATGCATTAATATACAGTTGGTTTGAGTGTAAACATGATGTTTGACATTAATTAGAAAAATGTACAATAAAACCAAATGTATTCTTTGTTAAAGTGGCTCTCATGCTTTAATACTGACATTGCTGGACAAAATGACCCTTTCTCCTTCCTTAGCTTACCACAAGTTGTATGGCATGCAACGGAGTTGAGGAAATGTTCATTTCATTTGAGGAAGCAGTCATTAATTCTCCTGATATCTTAACCCAGACCATAACCTTTTACTAGAACATAACTGTTATCCTGTGGCTAGGAAAAACCCAAGCTTAACATAAATGAACAACACTGCTGTCTGAATCACACCACAGTCTGGTTGGGAGACAAACTGGATCACAGCAGGTCTAAATTAGAGTTGGCATAATTGAGAACTCAAAGCAGGGTGAACAGCAACATTCACAGACATTGGCTGTATCCCAATTCAGGGTCTGCAGGCTCAAAGGCTGCATTTTAAGGCAGATTACGTCCCAGCGACGCGACAGAAGCTGTCCCAATTTCAAGGCGCACACACACACACACACACCAGCACAGAGGGGAAAACCACCAGAAGCCTCTCCAACACCCACACTGCTCTCCTCCAGCTTATTTATCACCTCTGGAGAGGTGATATATAAACGAGGGCAGATGAGCAGCAGCTGTGTCCTAAAGGAGAAGGCAGGGGCAGAGAGACACAAGTAACAATATGTATATGGATGTAACAATATACATAATATATAGGATGACAGAAATTAAATGAAGTGGAATGCATAACACAGAATTTACATAAGGGGCAGTTGCAGTCTGGCAGTGGGAGCAGTGTGACAGGTCAACTGTTTAGGAGGGAGATGGCGAGGGGAAAGAAACTGTTCCTATGTTGGGTGGTCCTGGTCTGCAGGCTTCTGTACCGTCTGCCAGAGGGCAGCAGATCAAAAAGTCTGTGTCCAGGGTGTTAGGGGTCTGTGATGATTTTCCCTGCCCGTTTCCTGGTTCTTGAGAGGTACAGATCCTGGATGGAGGGAAGGGGGGCGCCGATGATCCTTTCTGCTGCCCGTACAGTCCGCTGCAGTCTGCTCCTGTCCTGTTTAGTGGCTGCACCATACCAGACTGTGATGGAGGAGCACAGGACAGACTCAATGACCGCAGTGTAGAACTGGATCAAGAGCTCCTGTGGAAGACTGTACTCCCCAAGTTGTCTCAGGAAGTACATCCTCTGCTGGGTCTTTTTGAGGATGGAGTTGATGTTGGTCTCCCACTTCAGGTCCTGGGAGATGGTGGTACCCAGGAACTTGAAGATCTTCACAGTCGACACAGGGCTGTCTGATATGGTGAGGGGGGAGCAGTGTTCAGGCATGTTTCCTGAAGTCCACTGTCATCTCTACAGTCTTGAAATAAGACTTCAGGAGAAAGTGAGATATTTACATTAACAAAGTGAGATGACTTTAGTCTCATGAACAACATTAGCTAATTGTTATTTACTAGCTAATCTTAAAATGAATGTTCAGTACAGAAATGAAACAATGATGTTTTTACAGTCCCGTGGTCTCAGCCTCAGATACTTATCAAATCGCGAAGGCCATGTCCTCCAAGGCTGCAGACCCTGAATTCAGATACAGCCAATATCCACAAGCATATTACAAATCGAAAATTTCCTTTGGGTGGCGCTCTTCTACTCATTGTGTCAGATGCTTAGTTACTCCTTGGCCTCATTTAGCAATGATGTTACAGCTCTGGATGTCAGGATCACTGAACTGAAGACCTAGCTCTACACTTTTGAAAATCCTGTAGCAAACCAGCACTCCTTTAGCACACCACTGAAGTTGGTGTGGTTGAAGGTCACAGCAACAACAGTGAATTTTCTTTCAGGTGCCAGAGGAGGCAACATAGAGGAAACCTGAAACTGCTGGCTAATGGCAAATGTAAATTCTGTAAAATTATAATTCATGTCAATTGGAGGCTACTAAAATGAATATTTAATTGTGTGTAACTTTGCTAAAACAATGTTGAACTTTTTCGTTTTCTCTGGACCCTTCCCAAATTGGACCAGGAAGTGACATGTTTAGCCGCATGTTCTCCTTAAATATTGTAGGAACCACAAGTAAGCCTGCAGTCTGAAAGCGAAGTTCTCTAATGTGGTTGTATTGTACTATACAGCCATTAAGATGGGGCCTGATTATTTTGAATTCAATCCTGGATTTAACAGGGAGCCAATAAAGAGACTCCAGTATAGAATAAATATGCTCTCTCTTTGGGCAGGGTGGAATGCTGGTTAAGCACTGTTGCCTCACAGAGTTCAACTCCACCTTCAAGCTGGGGTCTTACTGTATGGAGTTTGCATGTTCTCCCTGTTATTGATTGGGTTCTCTCCAGGTACTCCGGGTTCCTCCCACTGTCCAAAGACATGCAGTTAGTGGGCAGTAGCGGTTTTAGATACGGGCGACACGGGCAGTTGCCCAGGGCGGCATCGTGGTGGGGGGCGGCATCATGGGCATCGACAAAAAAAAAAAAATGCTCGTACTCGTCATGCCAGCGCAGAGGGCGGGCGGCGGGGGATTCTCTGGCTGGCTGGAGCAGC